ACGGCTTGTCTCAGCCATTTTAGCATGAACTCCCATTATAAGAGTCTGTGATCATGGGTTACTGAAAGCCTAATATGCAAATCAAGTACCGCTAACCTAACCCTACGACCCACTATCCCCTTTCTCTCAAACCTAGACAACCAAGGCTCCACCCCATTCCTTAGAAGCATATTGTTAGTTAGTGCCCGCACCATTTTTACATGAAAGTTGGGACGTTGGAATTTCGGAGGAATATTTAAATGGATCAGGAATTTTTTGTCCTTCTGAGAACAGGGAGTTGTTTTAGGAAACTCTTACTCAGAATGGAAAAAGGTGATAAGTGGTGTCCATGAGATTTTGCTCTGGGGCCGCTACGCTTCTTAATCTACGCAAACGACCGCCTCAATTATATAGACTGTGAAAGTGTAATGTTTGTAGATGATATAAAAAGATGGATTGAACTAAGCTGTGTCAACAACTCAAAATGATTGCAAATGAATATCGAAAAGCTAATTGTTTGGTTGACCACATGGCTTCTTAATTTTAACTGCGTAGCCCTGCGTATTAGCTTCGGTCCCAAAGTACCTCAGAAACAGGAGAATGAAACAGAGGAGGATGATTCCTTCCAATACGTCCTCGATGGGCTACCCCTTTCAAATGTTGAAGAACAGAGAGACCTCGGTTAAACCATCTTCACATTGTCTAAAGGCAGCTAAACGCGCGACACAGGTGTTGTTTGCGATTAAACGGGATTCGTCCACATCGACAAGGAACTCTTCAGAAAAACGTAAGGAGCGTTTGTTCGGTCCCAATTGGAGTATGCCGTCTAGGCCTGGCGTTAAGAAGGATTATCTGCACCTGGAACGAGCGCAGGCGAGGGCTACAAAGATGATCAAGAATCTAGATCATTTGCCTTAGGAAGACAGATTGACCGAACTTGATTTATTTCCTCTGAAGTACATGCAACTCCGGGGTGACTTCATCCAAATCTACCGAATTATCAGAGGTCGTGAGCGCGTCCTAGAATTTTATGAAATCTTCGAATTGGTCAGACGGATCATCTGCGCGGTAATCCCCTTAAACTGCATGTGGACGTTCGATGGAACGCCTTCTCGCAGAGGGTAATAGGTGCATGCAACGGACTCCCTGACGAGGTGGTCCTCTTCGATAATGTTGAGACTTTTAAACGCAAACTTGATTACAGATGTAATGGATATATTGTCAGTATCAGCAGTTTGCAACTGGCTCACCCCTATCGCTGATGTTAAGCCTACGTTTGTATTATATACCGTTGTTAAGGCTGAACTCGTCCACGATTTTTGGATATGAATAGGAAGCTCATGTGCGAAAGCCTTCTCCCCTTAATAACACCACTTAAACACTAATATTTATTAATGGCAATGTACCAAAAGAGATTGGGACAGATTCACTTGTTTCGTCTGTTTACCCTTGGAACATGCTATCAAGCGAGACGGTTTCCGTTGACACCCTTGCGGAGTTTAAAAGAAAACTTGATGTCATTTTATTTGAAAAAAGGCGACTTTTACAACATGATTTCTTATTGCCAGCATTATAAAAAAGTTTCCTGACTGTAAACTATTTCCAAACTCTTCCGCGACAATTCATTCGAAAGTGTGTCATGGTACCATATGTCTTGCTACAACTTCATATTGACTGTAACAATGATATGGTTTACTTTAAATTAATAGGGTCCTCAAGGGTATTCCTTGCCTGTAACCCTTTAAATATACATGTATGCAGACAATTACATTGAAGCCTAATACTCTCATTTTGGATTATCCGTAGCCATGGTAACTCACTGAAACCGGAGGATTTCTGCGAATTTACCTCTTTAAATCACCTGCACGTTCAACCATACAAGATCAGATGCGAACGAACCTGATTGGACCTCAAAAGCTATTTCTTCAGCCAAAGAGTGGTTCGGTCCTGGAACTTGTTTCCAAGCAAGATGGTTATCGTTGACAAAATTTCTGATCTTCAAAAAATCATTGACGCAATTATATTTGAAAATATGACTCTCACAACATGACTACCTACGGCCAGACTTGTAACAATCCTCCGGACTTTCTCTTTCTGTGCATTGTTTTGCAATGAGCCGCAACAATTCACTTGAAGTTGTCTTGTAATTTGATTCCGAAATATTTTCAGTGTCTAAAACTTTTTACAATGAGTGTAAAGATGTCATGCTTACTTTACACAAACAAAGTCATCAAGAGCATTATCTGACTGTAACACTTCAAACGTACATATTGATACGGGTATGGATATCTAGCAAAAGCAGGGTAGTGGGTATGCTAAGGCTACATACAAATCACTGAAGGAAACCACAAATACAGAAGGGGGGCAGCACAATGCCAGCTCTGAACAGTGCCATTCCAGCTTCACAAAGAAACCTATCTCTGGTGAACGTAAGGAAAACAAAAGACCCAAGCCATTCCTATCAATACCTTGGGGTCTTCCGATGACAGTAGGGCTGTAAATATATCAAGGGTTTCCCTTGACCGCCAAAACTGCATAGTTGTTCAAGGC